GACAGAAAGGAAAACAATATTAGGCAAGTTGTTCAAATTATGTTCATCTGAAAAATAGAAATGATATAATGGTTCATTTTAATATAATGCTTCAAGATTTACAAAGCTCTTTGATGTACTTTTAAAATCTGATCCTCACAATTTTATGAGGTGAACGCTATTATTGAGTGCTATTATTCCATTTTATAGTTAAGGAAACTGAGGCTAAATCACTTGTGCATGGTCACTTACCTAGTAGTTCCTGAGAGGGGGTTTGAAGCCAGATTTTCTTGTATCTAAGTCCAGGACTCTATCCACTATGCTATCTATCTTAGATATTATGAAGAACTAAGGTAATATGTGAGAAAACATTTTATTCATTGTAAAGCATCATGCAAATATGAGATCACTAGAAATATAGGAATTTGAGCTGGAATGGACCTTATAAGGTCATCTAGTTCACCCCCTCTATTTTACAGATGGGTAAATTTAGTCTATGGAAGGTTAAGTGAGGCTCAAGGTCACATGGGTAGGGTAAACAGAGGAGCTGAGTGCAAACCTAAGTTACCTCTCATAGACTGGAGAGGAAGAAGGAAGAGAATCTCTGATCCCAGTGTACTAGAAATGTAAGAGGAGCACAAAGTTATCTTCATTCCTGGGAGTTTAGCATACCAGGCACACCCAGATATTCGTCAACAATACATCCAAGTAAAGGCACTTTTAAGAAAATCAACTCCCTGGTTTGGCTGAATTGCTTCCCCTCCTTTTTATTGTTATAAGGGATCTCATATGGGGGTGGGGAAGTGGAGGAACTAGGAGGGAACAGTCAGAAATTAAAGAAATGCAAAAATAAAAGATACTTATGACGTTAAAAAAAAAAAACCTCCTCCCAAACTTCTGGATGTCATTCAAAATGTCTAAAACCAAGGTATTATTATCATCCTCACTCAAAAAAACCCCCCAAAAGCCAAAAAAAAAAAGTGTTTAGGTAGAGTGTGTCCTGTTATGTATGGAGCCTGAGTAAACTAGGCCTTCTCCTTCTCCTACCCCAAGCTCTAGTTTTCAGAGAGAGAGACAACAGAAAAAATATTTTGAAAGCAAATCTCCACAAAGTAGTTAAGGAACTGTTTCAAAAGCCTTCTGACCAGACAACTGGGAATCACTTGGGGGAAAAAGTTCCTTTCTGGAAATGTAATGTCGACAACAAATCTGTGGATAAAGTAGGGCTGCTGAGTTGCACATCGGATAGAGCAGTGGGCCTGAAGTCAGATCTGAGTTCAAATGTGACCGCAGATACTTCCTAGCTGGAAAGTCCCTGAATCTGTTTGCTTCCATTTCCTCATCTGTAAAATGGATAATAATGACACCTGCCTCCCAGGGTTGTTGTGAAGATCAAATGATATAATTGTAAAACTCTTAGCATAGTGCCTAACACATGATAAGTGCTATATAAGTTGATAGAAAGGGCCTTTGATTGGCATTCAAACCTGGATGCAAGCCCTAGCTCTGCCACTAACCAGCTGTTGAATGTTGGGTAAGTCAGGTCTCCAATTTGGGTCTCAGTTTCCTTTTCCATAAAGGGAGGGGTGGAGCTGTGCTAGATGCAAGATCAGTTCACTTCTAGTTCTAACACAGGAATTCTTCATTCTGCAAGTGGTAGGAACTGCCACTTTAGCTAAAGAATATTTCATGGTTTCATCTGGTGAATCTCAAGCCATGCATTTTTTCCCTGCCTTTTTCATTCTTTACTTTAGTCAGTCAGCCAATAAACATTTATTAAGTCCTTACTGTATGCCAGGCACTGTATTAAGTGCTGAGAATACAAAGCAAGGCCAAAGACATTCCCTGCTCTCCAAGAGTCTAATGGGAGAGGACATTATGAAAACAACTTTGTGCAAACTACATATAGATAAATTGGAGATAATCAAAGAGAGAAGGCACTAGCAGTAAAGACTTCTCATTGCGATTTTAGCTGAGACTTGAAGGAAGCTGACGAGTTCAGAAGGTGGTAATGAGGAAAGAGAGTATCCCAGGCATGCAGAACAGCCAGGGAAAACATCCAGAGCCAGGAGACCAAGTGTCTGGTTCAATCATCAGCAAGGAGGCCAGTGTCCCTGGGAGTGATTGCAAAAGTTTTTTTTCTGGGAGTGTCATTTTTACAGGAAGAGAATATAATGTTTCCAGGGTGAAGTTTCAGTGCCTAAGTTCTCTGACCATGTCCTTGGGTATACAATTCATTTAACTTCTTGCAAAAAAACCAAACCAAACAAAAAAACCCTCTCTACTTCTGGCTGAAACCTCATTAAGTCTCTGACTTGAAATTCCAAAAAAGTTACTCTGATTGGTGTTTTCTCTGAACTCTATTAAGATGATGAGTAGTTAGTATCCTAGCAATAGAAAAGGATAACAGATGGGTAGCCCAAGTATTGCATGATATCCAGAAGGCCTGCAAATTGCTGGGGTAGATCCCCCTTGGAAGATTTATGACTTAGCACCTCTATGCTGGAATGGAAGGAAATAAGAGGCTGTAATGTATAAAAGTGGAGGAAGTACCCACACCCTGAAGACAGAGATCCACTAAGCATGGAAGTATCAAATATTAAGATGTATATTCTTGGGAATAATAAATGTCACCTTTAGAAAATGGACTTTTTGTAGGGTGAAACTGATCATTGCACCATCCTGGCCAGTTACCGCTAACACCAGCTGCTCAGTCACCAACACAGTAGGCAAGCTAGCCTCCTGAAACAGTAAGACACTTTGAGAGAGGAGATGGTATGTGCCACACAAGTCAAATCATAGCCAGCACCTCTCCTTTGACCCTTCTGGAGGTAGCCCAGACCCCTGGGGAAAGCAGCATCCACAATCCAGGGAAGCCCCCCTTGTGTAAATGGGACCTGTCAACTTCCTCTACACTGTCTGCTGCACCTCCTGACCCTTCAGTAGCCATAATTACTTAAGCCTGGGGAAGGAAAGTTTGTGCCACTTAAATCTCTGGCACTGACAGCTTCACATTAAAGACCAACAACGTTTTATTGATGGAAAATTAAAAGAAGATTTAAAGAAGATGCATTATCTCCTGCTTTGCTGCTGCATCCTAAGAACCACTGGGCCTCTCCATCTGACTCGTAGCTGTGAAAGGGAGGTTTTAGAACTCAGTGACGCTCTTGGTTTTGTATTTGTATCCTTAGCACTTATCCCCATATTGTGCATGTAGTAAAAGCTTAATAAATATCTTTTCATTGATTAATTGATTAATCACTATGATACAATCTCTACCACAATGCTTTCTTTGAAAGAAACGCTGAAGGTGTAACATTCCCCTGACAAGAGAGGGAATTTGGTTTCTGATAGACAGAATGCTTCTTTACATCAACTTGGGTGGAGTTTTACATCACTGGAAAAATTTGGAAAAGAATCTTCAAATACTGTTCATTGAAATATGCTGAGGGTAGGGGGATGCACAGGAGACATATGTAGATGTTTGATGAGAATGCACAGATATTCTACGATAGTTTCTTATCTGCTTACTAGGTGGTGAAGAAAAAGACTTTTTAACTAATCAGTTAGTGTGGGATGTCTGTCATCTGCCATTAAGTTATTCTTAATCAAGGATTCTTGAGGACAAAAAAAACTCAAATCACAACACTTTAAAAAACAGATCAAATGATCTAGAAGTGGATAGTGACTTTTTTTGTCTCTTCATAGTCGAAGGATCAGAGGACTCATCTCACCCCATGGAAAAGACACAACTTAGTGCACAAACCATATCATTCAAGGGAAAATTCTCAACATGAAACATAAACCAAAAAAAGTATAATCCTGGAGGAAAAGTACACCATCTGTGGGTGTTTGCATATCTAAACAAGTATTTTCTGGACAGTAGCCCCTATTGGAAAAGGCGGATTTCACTTATGCAGAAGCATTTCTATTAACCTCTTCCTCTAGACACCATCTTTTAATTTAAAAAATAAAAATCATTAACAGCGAAAACAGATACAAATTTATGGGCTTAAATGGAAGGTTTTTCCAATGTAAGCTTCTTGAGAGCAGGGGCCATTTTACTCTTTCTATTTGTATCCCCAGCATCCCGCATAGCGCCAGTCCCACAACAGGCACTCGATAAATGCTTTCAGCGATTTATTGCTTCTTGGTCCATTCCTGGAAACAACTTGCAGCAGCCACCTGGTTTCCTTCCACTTGGAAAACGCATTCTATTCTTTAGTTGCAATAACTCAACTTCTTAACCAAACAATTGGAGGCCTCCAATCTTGTGCGTATACCTACTCAAGAATGACAAAACAATTCTTAAAAACGAAAACGTTTTCTCATACTAACTTGGCATAACTATAGTGTGGTTGCACTGCTTTAAGAAAAAAGTAGAATTTTAATATTTAGAGCTAGAATGAGCCTTAGAAACCTAGTCTAATCTTTTCACTTTACAGATAAGAAAACAGAAACTGAGGGTGAGGGGGTAGTGGCACTGGGGAGGAGGCAAATGACTTACCCACAAATCACACCAATTTGTCCTGATTTGTCAAAGCCCAGGTAACTATTTTAAAACTTTCAGTGAATGTTTTTAACATATATATGTGTGCAAGTAAACATATATTATACATGTATATATGCCTACATATGGATATATACACGTGTGTGTTCATATGTGTGTATATATATACATATATATATGCACACTGTGTGTTACATGTTAGATTTCCTCAGTGACTACAGACATATTCTGTTATGACATATGAAGCCATATCTTATCATTGGGTAGAAAGATTAAATTTCTTATGCCTTCTAATGGATACTTGAGAATGGTCCAGTCAATGGAATTACTGGAATCACAGGAATCTTAAGCTAGAAGGGATTTTGGAGTTCATTTAACCCATCAGCTCTCAAACTTTTGGTCTCAAGACCCTTTTACACTTAAAAATTGAGCCTCCCCTCCCCACCTCTCCACCAAGATCTTTTGTTTATGTAGATTATAATTACCTCTACAGAAAAAAAAATGGACACACTGAACATTTTCTAGTTTAATTTGAATTATCAACATTTTCTCCATCACTTTCTTAACTCTAGATAATCAACAAAACAATAAATCAGTCCCTGATTTGTAACATTTATTGATTTCCAAGGTTTAAGTGGTCACACTGGAAAATTAACAGTAAGCTCTTGAGAGCTGATTTGAGCTGGCTCCAGCACCTCACTGGTTATTGATATTTGCTGTATTTGAAATTAAAATGTTTTAGTATTATTATGAATTCAAGGATCCCCTGAAAGAGTCCCGAGGACTCCAGCAGTCCCAGGACCATGAGTTAAGAGCTACTGATATAGGCTAACCCCTTCATTTTACTGAGGAAACTAAGGCCCAAAATGCCCTGCCAGAGGTTATGTAGATTTAAGTGGTGGAGCCAGGATCTGACCCTTGGTCTTTTGACTCGAAATTCAGTGGTCCCAAACTGGTTTCTATTTTCCTAATAACAGTAGTTTACATTTGCACAATATTTCATAAAACGTATTTCTGTTTTCTTAAAAGTACAAATAACCCCCCAATTATCTTACCACAAAATGCCCACAGAGGTTTCCCACAATTTAAATGTCAAAAGATACGTTCTTTATAATCTCATGAATATTAAAAAAGATTCTGAAAGTTGTCTATTAAATTTTGTTGCTTTAACACTAGGTACTGAACAATCTATCTATCCCAAGGATTTACTTGGGGAAATGCTGAGAGAGAAAATGGAGAGTCTTCAATGTGCCTCCAAATTATACAACACATTATTCAAAGGGCATAGGTGAGGAATTCTTTAAAAAGGGATCAACTGGGACACATTATTCAGTAATTCTGGTGCTCTGGCATTATCCCAAAAATAATCTCCAATTGACTAAGAAATAATGAATAATTAGCAAGGACTGAGGTTGGCTCTTCTTTGATAGTTCTTCACCTATCAAAGGTAAAGGTACAACACAATATATTCTGGCTGGAAAAGAGGGATAGAACAAAAGCTTACTTGTTTTGAACCTTATTTTCCCTTTTCCACAGCAGGCCCAGCACATATTTCCGAAGTTAATATAAGTCCAAATTCTGAATGTAGAGTTTTGACCAGGCATACATGAGACCATGGAATCATCGTATACTCATCAATCCTCCACACGTCTCATATTAATATCATACCATATCGAAAGCAACACCCATTTGAACAACCATGGCATTTGACATAAAAAAGTGGGGGCTTGGCATGCCAACAGGATCAGAGGGTTCTCATGTCTCATGACTTCACAGTATTTGGCCATTTCATATTTCAAAAAGGATGCAAAAGACAACTTAGCATTTTCATATACTTATTTTATGCTCTGTGGTTGAGCTGGGACCCACATTCCCTCCTTCCTTTGTCAGCCTTCCAGGGGAAACTGTCTGAGCCTATAACCTGAGTAAAAACACTGAATTTTGACCAAAATTAACACTACCTCTCAAATAGATTATTCTTAACAGAAGCACGAGATACAGTGAGAGAATTATGAAGAATCCAAGAACAAGCAAAAGTATCATAGTCAACCAAGAGTACTGGGAAGAAATGTTGATCCTTCAGCAGGCCCCATTAGTTGTTTTCACCTTTGTTGGCCTGTATCGTCACTTATAACTTGTATTGCCAGGTCTTGGCCAGAGGAAGAATAACAACAATATTGGGTGACTGAGTAAAGTTTCTTTTGCAGGGAAAAAAAAGCACATAGACATAAAGTTTTGTTAGAGGTAAAGTCAGCCCATAGTCTTTTGCAAAGTCTACTTCTCTCAGAGTAGGAAACTGGTGAGTGCTGAAAGGATATCTCAACACAGAGGTCACAGAACCAACAGTCCAGTGAATACTCAAGGTGTTAGGACCTGGATACGAGTTCTACCATTTTCACTGAACATAGCTATGGTACCACTGGTCCCTGGTCTTGTTGAACTTGTTTCAGCAGGTTAAATACATACTGTCCTATAGACCAACTTCAAGGTCTGCTATGCCTGGAAGGCTCCAGATAAGCCAACTCCACAGAAGTATGACTGATACACTGCTGTCCCTCAAGACAAAGAAACTTCCTGGTTCTGGACACATGAGCCCCTTTCCCTCCTCTCTAGCCGGGCTGTGCCTGCTTACACATCGGAGGTCCGTATATGCTCATCATCCAGGTTGTACATAAATGGTTTCTCTTTGGGCTGTTGGGGCTCTGATCGATGCCGTACCCGAGAACTTGACAGCATGGTGGCATCACCTTCCCCAAGTCTGGACATGAAGGGGGAGCCTCCAGGAGTCTCTTCATCCAGAAGCAGCTTTTCATCTGCCTGTGGGACAGGTGTCCAGGGCTGCCAGGATGAAGCAATGAAGGGAGCTTTGCAGGGAGCTTTCCTTTCTTCCCCAGCTGGCCGTCCTCTGCATGGAGTGGAGTTGGACACACCTGAGAAATTGGAGCTTCCAGGCCGAGACAACGAAACCGATCTAGAGAAAGACATTTCCTGGAGTAGAAGAGGGGGAAATAACAAATAAATAGGGCAATATCATGAGTGAGGATATTCAATTTGACAAACATCTCTTTATTAAGCACTTATGCATGGCACCATGCTAGATGCTAGAGATAAGAGGACTGATGCAAAATAGACCCTGTTAACAAGAATACAATTAATGTGATATAATATGGTAATATAATAATAGCGTATAATGATAAGACATATATGCAAATAAGCATAATAGAAAACAGTGTGATTGACAGAGACAAAGAAGATGGCTACAAAAAGTGCTTTGGGAGAATCTAAGAAGGGAAAAGAGCATTTTCAGTTGGGGCAATCAGCACAGACTTCATGGAGAAAATGGCACCTAAGGTGGGCCTTGAAGGAAAAAAGATTCTTTTTGGTTTTTTGTTTTTCTTTTAACTTTTATTCTTGTATTAGACTTAACAAGTACTAAATAGAACGGGTTTGAAGGTACATAGTAGAACAGAAAAAGAGAATTGTACGCATAGAAGAGGAAAGGAGGGCTAAACAGGAAATTGTGGGTGTCATATAGTTTGTTTTTCTTTTTGAGTATACAGTGTCCCCAAAGTCTTAGTGCAGTTTAAGCTTATTAAAGCTTATTATTAAATAAGCTTATTAAAGTTTAAATTGCACTAAGACTTTGGGGACACTGTATAATAAGATTGACTTGTAGCTTTCAAAGCTGTCCTTGCCTGGCCTTCTTTCTGTTCTTTTTTCTCTATTTTTTTTTTTTGCAGGGGGAAAGATAACTCAGTGACTTGAAAAAGAGGAGTCCAACTGGCAAAGATGAGGAGGGAAAGCAAGAGTGTGCTGGAGCCCACTCCCACTAGCCAAATGTTAAATGTTCAGTGTGAGCATTTACCCTGCAGGGAATTGACAACTGCTGCCAACCGGAGCTCCATTCGTCATTTTGTTGATTGTCTAGACTTCAGAAAGTGTTAAAAATGCAGATTCAACCCTCAACCATGCTTTTTTTTTTGAGAACCTGTCAAACATTTACCAGTACACCCCTGAAGGAGAGTGAGTGTACCAATTGTGGATGACAGCATCAATGAATGCACAGAGGTGGAGAGGGCAAGACATGATTGTGAAGAAGCTAGTACTCCAGGCTGCCTGGGACACACAATGTGTGAAATCAGGATGGAAAAAGTTTAAAACCAGATTCCTGAGGGCCTTAAATTCCAGGCTCATATCACAGGAATTAGAGTTCGATGGGACTTGGGAGAGGAACAATTTGGGTCCCCCATTTTACAGATGAGGAAACTGAGGCTGGGAAAAATTAAATGAATAGTAACAGATTACTTATAGTCTAAATTCAGTGCTTTCCCCACTGTACTGAATTTTCTTTGTGCAATGTTTTCCAATCCCCAGGAAAAGTCCCTCTCCCCAACATCTCTATTTTATAACTCCAGGCATCCTCCCAATGTAAACAATGACAAAGAGCAGCATCTGAAGTCTGAATCCAGAACTGTGTTTTGATCTCAGTGGCAGGTAGGCTTGCTGAAGAATACAGCATAAACATTACATCTTCACTTTCCCCCACCTCTCCATAACTACTCCAACCTCCTCCTTCAAAACTCCCCCTAAAAAACCCCACACAAAAAAACCTGCATCCAAACCAATGAAGAAATAAATAAAAAGAGAAAACATTCCAATGCTACAGCTGCATCCTGGACACAGGCTGCCTGTCTGTCCCCATCTTCCAATAAAACATACCCACTCAGTAAGCGTGATCTTTAATAGGTATTAACTGTGTAACAGAAAGGATGTGACTTACTTTAGGATGGCACTTGAGAGCCTGGACAGCTGCACCAATCTCCTTGATCCAGCTGTGCATGTCTTCTGGGCTGTCCGCCTGGAAAACATTTACATATGTTGTATTGAAGCTCTTAGGAACATGGTTTCTGCCCATTGGTAAGCTTCTTATTTGACCTTGGAAGTTCACAGATTCATAGAAGCTTAGAGTTGGGAAGGGACCTTTGGATCACAAGATTTAGAGCTGGAAGGACCTCAGAAATCACCTAACTCAGCAGGTTCTTATCTTGGTATCAGTGAATGTAAAAAATATTTTTGATAACTATATTTCTTTTTTCAATAAATGAAAGTCTGTTTTCTCTGCCTGCTATTTCTCCCTTCCACTGAGAAAGCAAGAAAAACAAAACCCCCATAACAAGCATGTATAGTTGAGCAAAACAAAACCCTTTATTAGCCACATACAAAATATGTGTGTGTGTGTGTGTGTGTGTGTGTGTGTGTGTGTGTGTGTAAGTATATATCTCAGTCTTCTGAGTATCACTTCTCTATCTGTAGGTGGGTTAAATAACACCATAAAGTATCATTTTAAAAAATAGAAAAAAATGATACCAAATGATACCTGCCAACCCCACAAGGGGGCAGCTGGCAGCTCAGTGAAGAAAGGGGAGGAAGCAAGCTGTCTACCCACCCTGACTGCCATACCATCTTTTGCCACCTGATTGACCATGAGCAAAACTGGGCCTTAGTTTCTTCATCTGTGAAATGAAAAGACTAAGCTAGTTGATTTCTATCCCTGAATCCTAGGCAAGTTTTCTATGACCAACCCCCTCTAGTAGAATGTCATCAGATCAAGCAAATCATGACATTGTCCAAAGAGAATAGGAATATTTCCTTGAGGCTTCATTTCCATGCCCCTGTAGGTTTGGAACTGAAACAGACCTCAGGGGCCATCTACTCCAAAACCTTTATTTTATGGATGTGGCACCTATCAGATTGGCCAACATGACAAAACAGGAAAATGATAAATGTTTGGAGAAGATGTGGGAAAATTGTAACATTAATGCATTGTTGGTGGAGTTGTGAACTGATCCAACCATTCTGGAGAGCAATTTGAAACTATGCCCAAAGGGTCATAAAAATGTGCATACCCTTTGACACAGCAATAGCACTTCTAGGGCTGTATCCCAAAGAGATCATAAAAATGGGGAAAGGACCTACATGTACAAAAATATTTATAGCAACTCTTTTTGTGGTGGAAAAGAATTGGAAATTGAGGGGGGGTCCATCAATTGGGGAATGACTGAACAAGTTGTGGCATATGAATGTAATGGAATTCTATTGTGTTATAAGAAATGATGAGAAGGCAGACTTCAGAAAAACCTGGAAAGACTTGTATGGACTGATGCTGAGTGAAGTGAGCAGAACCAGGAGAATGTTGTACATAGTAATAGCCACATTACGCAATGACTGACTTTGATAAACTTAGATCTTTTCAGCAACACAAGGATAGGTGCAGCTAGGTGGTGCAATGGATAGAGCACCGGCCCTGAAGTCAGGAGTACCTGAGTTCAAATCTGGCCTCAGACCAAACACTTGACACTTACTAGCTGTATGACCCTGGGCAAGGCACTTAACCCCAACTGCCTTAAAAAAAAAAAGGGATGCAAGGGTCTAAGACAATTCCAAAAGACTCACGATGGAAAACACTATCCATGTCCAGAAAAAGAACTTTGGAGCCTATACGCAGATGGAAGCATACTCTTTGCTCTCCTTTTCTTTTGTTGTTTTGTTTTGTTTCTTCTTTCTCGTGGTTCCTCCCATTAGTTCTAATTCTCCTTTACATGATGACTAATGTGAAAACATGTTTAATATGACTGTATAAGTAGAGCCTCTATCAGATTGCATGCTGTCTTGGGGTGGGGAGATGGGAGGGGAGAGAGGAGTAGAAAATTTGAAACTCAAAATCTTATAGAATTGAGTTTGAAAACTAAAAATAAATTAATTAAAAAAAACTTATAGATGAGGAACTCAGGCCCAGAGAAGTCAAATAACTTGCCCAAGATCACACAGATTATAAACATCTGAGTCAGGATTTGAATGCAGGGTCCACTGACTCCAGAACTTGTTCTTTTTTCACTGTGCTAGAAGAAACCATCGAGATGGCCAAATCCAACTCTTTTTTTTTAAAGAGATGAAGAAATGGAGGCCTAGAGAGGTTAAGTGACTCACCCAAAGTCACGCAGCCAGTAAATGGCAAGACTAGGACTAGAGCACAGGCCTCTTGACTCCCTCTCTAGTGACTTTTCCCACTATACCATTAACCTGGTGCCAAGTTGTCCTGCATTCCCACTTTCTGATGGTTTTGTAGTCCTTTGCCAACTGGGGCAATTTCTATCCACAGATCAAATTCATCTTGGTACTAAGAAAGAAAAAAAGGTAGTGATGGAGTACTTCCAGAGAACACCTAAAAGAATATAACTGTTCAACATAATGTTTCGCTTATGGACTAGCAGAGTAAGAGGTGATTTTCAATTGGGGTTCCCCTCCAATTTCAAGTTCTGTGATGCTTAGAATTCCACTTTTAGAGATACATTCATTTGGGCTAAATGTTACCCTCTTGGTATGATCCCCATTTTGAAAAGCCAATTAGTAGAATATATTAAATCCCTAACATCTCAACATGAATGAGTTGATCATATTCTTTATCTCTAGAGCAGCATAGCTAGGTCCCAATTAGTGCAAATAATGAATCCCATAAAGTGGTTGTATGTATTCTAATTTGCTCTATCTGGAGTTATAATTATTTATATAATATCACATATAATATCATATATATTGTTATACATAATAATATTATATTGTATATAATATATGTAATATACATGTGTAATATTATATATAACACATGTATGTGATTATAAATGTAATATTAAAATAAAGTATATAATTATATGTAAGATGATAGCTGAGATTTATGTAAGCTTTAAGAATCGAAAAACACATTACATATCTCATTTGATCCTTACAATGGTCCTATGAGGTAGGCACTCATCCCCATTTTACCAATGAGGAAACTGAGGCAGAGAAAGGTGAAGTGATTTGCCCAGAGTCTGAAGAGGACGTAGAGAAGCAAACACAATCACTGAGATGAGGTCTTCCTAGGTCTAGCGATGTCTGACAGTGAGATGATCACCTTCATTAGGGACAGTAGGCCTCATATAATGTAGTTTAAGACTGTGTTAGCTTTTGAGACTTACACGGTTGGCTCTCCCTTGCAGCCCACTAAAACACCAAGATCCTTCTTCACAGTTAACGATCATCTAGTCACAATTCTCTCATCCTGTACTTGTACAGTTGATTTTCAGAATTGTACTGTTAGGCTATAACATTTGTCCTTATTAAATCTTAACATAGCAGATCGAGCCCATTATTTTAGCCTATTAAAATCTTTTTGGATTCTGGATTTGCCACCCAACATGTTGGTGATTTCTTTGAGCTCCTGGAGGGATAATTTGATAAGCATGCCATCTCTACTACCATCTAGGTCACTGATAAAAAGGAACCAAATCAAGAATAGAGCTTGCATTAGAATGATTTTTGAACTTGTCTTATCCTCCAAATAGACTGTAAAGTCCATGAGGGCAGGACCATGAAACATCTAAACACTCAATGTTTAGCTATTTAAACACACAGTATTAAAATACTGAGTTGTACTACATATATATGTATATATATATATACACACACACACACACACACACACACACACATATATATACACGCATATATGTATATGTAATGGATACATTACAATGTAATATGTATATGTAATGTGTGTATATACATACCTATGTATATGTATACATATGCATAACTACTAATTAATACTAATGAATACTAACAATATACTGACATAGTACTTTAACATTTACAAAGCATATTCCATATTTTACTACTTGAAACTCAAAACAACCCTGCAAAGTAGATACACTACAGGCATTATTATCCTCAATTTACACGTAAAGAAATTGAAACTCAGATTTGACAAATGAAACTCAAATTGTGACTTGTTGGCAAGTGTCATCAGTGAGAGTTGAAGCCAGGTCTTCCTGATTCCAGCATTCTTTTCTATAAGGTTATGCTGTGTCTCCTACAGTAAGAACTCAAAAAATTTGCAAGTAAACTCCTGATACTGAAAGTCTTGTGGGAGAACAGGGTAAAGAGGCTGACAAAGTTCAGATACCATAATGGCAGAATGAACAAGCATCAGATGCATTTCTCTCTCTACAGGATTCCAAAAAGTCTCACATTAGAATGTGGTTGGAAAACGGCTGGATAGGTTATGGCTTGATCATTTCATAGAATATGGTGCCATAAAAGATGATAAATAGAGAGAAATAGAGTAAAACCTATATCAAGTAATGCAAAGCAATAAAAGCAGAATCAAAACCACCATTACACATGAAAAAAAAAAAAAGGAAACAAAACCAAAGGCTCCCTGGCCTCAGCTGGATATGGAAAGAGACCACAGCAAAAACACATTGCATGCTTATTTTGGTTTTGTTTTTTTTCTGTTAATGTGCTTGGTTCTGCTCTATAAAACTAAGGGCTTTATGTAAGATGTTTGTCCTTGTTTTGTTAAGTTTATTTTAAGCTTTAAAGTTTGCAAAGCGTATAACATATCTCATTTGATCCTTACAATGGCCCTGTGAGGCTCTATTTTACCAATGAGGAAACTGAGGCAGAGAGAGGTTAAGTGACTTGCCCAGAGTTGTATTGCTAGATTCTGAAGAGGACACAAAGAAGCAAATAATAATTTTAAAAATAATTTTAAGAAAACAAAATATAAAAACCTTTAAAATAATTTTAAAAAATAATTAGTAAGCTTATAAAAATTAAAGTGAAATAAATGTTTCTTGAATTGAACAGATAGCTATCTCACTTCTTGCCTTAAATAACAACCATTTTCTAAGGTATTGGATTTCTTTGCCTCATCCTTCACTATCTCCTGTGCTTTTTCTTCTTTGAAATGCAAAAAACTCTTGCTGATTTTCTCTAAAACAGTCAGGAAATACATATGTGCATACATGCATATATGTGTGTGTAAATATACACATATACATACATACACACACGTGTATAAATAAATTAGCTCAACTCACAAAGAAAAGCCTACGGGGTCCCTGACCTGCCTGCTTTGTGCAGGCAGAGAAGAACAATGATCGTACCTACTTTGAAAGCAGGCCTGGAAACGTCTGGGTGCCAATGAAAGTCAAATGGGTCCCTAGTTTTTCTTATGAGGGCATCTGGAGAGGGGGGTTGGGAGCCAGGCTATGGAGGAAGGGAGGCTTTGAAAAATTTGCTCTGAGGTCCAGAAATACACAATGAAATTCATACATAGAGGTGCTGCATTGGAAAATTGTCCCCATTGTGAAAGATACACAATAATTTCTGTCAGTTCGGGAAATGGCCATAATAATAATTGTTGGCCTTAATAAAGTACTTTAAGACGACAAAACACTTTATGTACATTATCCCATTTGAGTTTCAACAACCTCATGGGGAAGGTTCCTCAAGTATGATTGTGTCCGTTTTGCAGATAGAAACTATAGCTCAGAAAGATGAAGTGACTTGCCCCAAGTCACACAGTTATAACATGTAATGAAGAGATGATCTGACCTCCTAGCTTCCGAGTCTGAGTCCAGGGCTATGTCCACTGTGCCCCATGCTCTCACATACTAGAGATCAATGGGCTAATAGTAGCCGGAGGCTTATGCCTGAAAGCACAGACCCTGGATAGAAGGCTGTTTTTCCAAAGGCCAGCGCCAGGCAGGAATTTGCAGCTCCTGTGACTGCAGCAGGAGATGGGAGGGAGCCAATACCGTGGGTGGAGACGGGGAACCCCTGGCTGAACAGCAAGTGCCCAGACAATGGCTTTCTCTGTGCAGCTGCACTGTGCACCTGGCCCTGAAACAGGGCACTCTGGGCTTCTGCCCTTCTATTTAGAAGTAACGTCCACATACAGAGCTATGGTTAAAAATAAACCAGATAGAAGAAGTGAAATCACTGGCCAGTTCTCCTTTTTCTCTGCTTAGCTAGAATCCAGCGGCTGACATCAGCTGAATACAAACTCACATTCCCCAGTACAGTGGCTCAGCCTGTTTTTATTTTGTATGGTTGGGAAGTTTGGGGCAAACATCCTGTTAGGAGATAACGGGACTTAGAATAACTGCCAGGTGCTAAATTTACTGTTTAGACCCTTAGAACGCAAAAAGAGAAAGCAGAGAAAAGAAGGAGGTTCATTAACTGTTCACTCACAGTCATAAGACATTAAAACACTACTAAAGGGCATCTTACCTGAATATAGAAGGTCCGGGAGCTTGTTATTATTTCAAACAGGTTGTCTCTCATTAAGAGTTCTCTAGATACAAAGACAGAGAACAAAGAATTTAACAAAAAATATGCTAGAATAACTACAGAAGACATAGATTCTCTTCTGGATATTCATGACCCTGGTGATCCTTATCTTCCATCAGCCATCTCTTGAAAAGATGGAATGTTAAAAAATACTTAAGACAAAAATTTCAAACACCATTTTATCCTACCAATCAGGATTCTAAATAACAAAAGTTCTTAACCTTTCTTGTTCATGAACTCTTTAATAAGTCTGGCGAAACCTCAAGATCCCTACATATTGTTGTCTACATTCAAAAATGAAAGAAATGCTAAATTTCAGTGACGGGTTAGTGAAAATAAAGATGTAATTTTTTTTCTGCCCAAGTTCCCCTCAGATGGGTCAGTGGACCCCAAGTTAACAGTCCTTGCTCTTGAGAATTGACTCTCAAGCTTTACTGTCCTGAGAGTACCCTGGACCCACAATCTTTCTTATTTTTCTTCAAATTTCATTTTTTAAAAAAATATGAATTTAACAAACATTAACATGTCCTTGTACAAAGAACAGAAAAAGAGGACAGTATATTTGGCAGAGGAGCTGCTAGGTGGCATAGTGGATAGAGTGCTGGGCCTGGAGTCAGGAAGACTCATCTTCCTGAGTTCAAATCTGGTCTCAGATACTTAGTATCTTTGCCGAGAAAACCCCAAATAGGGTCACAAAGAATTAGACACAACCGAAATGCCTGAACAATAATAAAATATTTGACTGCAAATTACTATGTATGGTTTGGTTTTGGTTTTTGTACATTTCAGATTTTGTACATTTCACAGCCCAGTAGTTCCAACATGGCTCTGTTTTTCTGTGTCCCCTTTTGAATTTCCTTCTGCCTTCTTTGGTACAGTTTTTAACTATTTCAGGAGTGCCTTTCTTTGTTTTATTTTTGCATCTCTCATTAACACCCCCTTCATTCCTCATTGTCTCCCATCCCCCAAAGTCCTCTCTCTCTCTCTCTCTCTCTCTCTCTCTCTCTCTCTCTCTCTCTCTCTCTCTCTCTCTCTCTCACACAACTATAGTGAAGCAAAAACAAGACCAAAATAAAAAGCAAAAATAAAACCAAAACCAAAACCAACAACCATGGATTAGTCATATCTGAAAATGTATGGTGTGTTCTATGCCTACAGTCTTCTACCAAAAATGGTCATTGCATTGATCAAACATTCAGAGTTCTTTTCCTTTCAAATATTATAGTCACTTTATAAATTGTTCATCTGGTTCTTCTCACTTCACTCTTTATTAGTGCATACAAGTCTCCCCAGATTCCTCTGAATCTCCCTTTCTTATAGTGCAATAATATACTATTATATTAGTATACTATAACTTGTTCAGCCATTCCCTCATTGATGGGCATTCCCATAGTTTCCAATTCTATACTACACCAAAAAGTATTACTATAAATATTTTTGTATGTTTTCACCCTTTCCCTTTGTCTTTGAACAACTTGGAGTGTGTGTCTAGTAACGGTATTACCAGGTCAAAGGGCAGGCACAGTTAGTGATTCTTGAGGTATAGTTCTTAATTGCTTTTAACTGTGGATAGACCAATTGAACTAACAGTACTTAAATGTGCCTATCCTTGCGCAGCCTCTTCTACAATTTCAATCTTCCTTTTTAGTCTCATTGCCAATCTGATTGGTGTGAAATGGAACCTAGAAGTTGTTTCAATTTGCATTTCTCTTATTATTAGTGATGTGGAGTATTTTCAATATGGTTTTTGGATTTCTTGAGAACTGATTGTTCATATCACCCCACCATTTATCTATTGGGAAATGGTTCTTGTTCTTATATGTTTATGTCAGTTCCCTATTTATCTTGCATTTCAAAGTTGTTTGGGTTTTTTTTAAAGCAAAGATTTCCCCTAAAATCACTGTTTACCTTCTAATTCTAACTGCACTAATTTTATTTTGCAAAAATGTCATCAGAGCTGTTAATATGATTTCCTCTGATCCTTTCTGTTCCTACTTTGGTCAAGAATTTTCCCCTTTCCATAGTTGTGAAAAATATTTCCCCCTATTCTCCTCTAATTTGTTTAATGAAACATGACTTTCTATATCTAGGTCAGGAATCCATCTGAAGCTTGCTGCGGAATATAGCGTGAGTTGCTAGTTTAAAGCTAATTTCTGTCAAACTGCTTTCTAGCTTTATCAGGAGTTACTGTTGTTTGTCAAATAGTAAATCCTGTCCCAATAGTTGTTATGCTTGGGTTTATGAAACACTACGCTTCTGGGTCTTATGTACCTACCTACTCTGTTCCACTGATTAGCTTTTCAGTTTTTTAATCAATACTTAAAAAGTTTCGATAGCTGCTGCTTTGTAGTACAGTTTAAGATCTGGTAGTGCTAGGTACCCTTCCTTCTCTCTTTTTTAAATCATTTTCCTTGAGATTCTTGACTACCCATTAATTAATTAATTAATTTTCAGCTTATACTTTCAAATAATTTACATTCTCCTCATCCACCTCTACTTCCTATAGCTTGTCACATCCTCATGATCCTTAGTATGAATATCAATGCAATTTAACCCCTCCCCCACCTCAACTCAGCAATTCAGTCATCCTGCCTCAAAATAAGGCTCGGCAAAACTCTAGGCTACCCTGTTTTCAGCCTTGTTTTCTCTTAAACATCAAACCCTTTTCAATTTCATTGATTCAGTTATTCAACATGTTGTTTCTTAAACACTTAACTACGTATTTACTAGGGGCAGTTAGGTGGTACAGTAGATAGAGTGCAAGACCTAAAGGCAGGGGGACTCATCTTCCTGAGTTCAAATCGGGCCTCAGACACTTCTTAGCTTCATGGCTCTAAGCAAGTCACTTCACCCTGTTTGCCTCAGTTTCATTATCTGTAAAGTGAGCTGGAAAAGGAAATGGTAAAACCACTCCAGTATCTTTGCCAAAAAAAAAACCCCAAAAAACCTCACATGGGGTCACAGAGTCAGACACAACTGAAAAATGACTAACAACAATAAAATGTGCTTAATGACTATGCTATGATTCAATAATTGTGCTAGGCAAATGGGAAAGTGAGAAAAGTCTGAAGAAGAGGCAAAGGAAGTCAAGAGGTCTTTCAACACGTATACTCATGCCTTCTTTCACCCATCTTCACTTCGTGCAGCTCATTACATTAGGATGATTGGGCTGACATGAGCTTATCCCATCAAATGGGCTGCAAACCAAAGAGAAAAAAGTCTCTGTCTCCATTCAGGGACAAGAGGACTAACTCCTGAGTTCTAAGTCTTGAGCCATTACAGTTTAAAATCTCAGAGTCTGAAGGAAGTCAGAACATTTCTAGTCCAAAAAATAACTGAACAGAAAAAAAACCCAAAACAAAGTCTCTACAACATTCCCAACAAGTAGTCTGACATCCTCTTATATACTATTATTGATGGAACAGTTCTTTAGCTATTGAAAAGTTCTAATCATTGGGAAAATTTTTCTATATGAAGTTATTGACTAAATAAGGGATAGAGAGGATCAAAAGAGATAATATTGGTAGCTTTGATATTTTTGCATAATAAAATTAGTGCAGTTAGAATTAAAAGGGAAACAGTGACTAGAGGAAAATCTTTGCAGAAAAAAAATAATATCCAAGATATGTAGGGAATTGACAAAATCTGCTTCTCTGCAATTTTCACCCATTGGTTCAAGTCAAATCAAATCCTGCCAAGAAGTGATTTGAACTAACTATGAGGCATGACATTGTGAGCTCCTTGAGGGCAGGATATGTCTTATAATATCTTAGTTCATCAGAGGTCAGTGCAGTGGCCTACCCATGAGAGGCACTCAGGAAATATTTATTGTACCAAATTTATGTTAAAAAGGCTTAACTTTGGCTCTCAGGACACTTACAGGCTAGTTGGTAAGATGAGATTAATAAAATAATTATAAGGTAATCAATAAATAGGTTCATAGGATCACAGATTAAGAACTCGAAGGGACTTTAGAGGTCTTCTAATACAACCTTCTCATTTTATAGATTAAGGAAACTGAAGGCCAGAGAAATTACTTGCCCAGGGTCTCACAGCTGATAAGTACCTGAGCTGGTATTCAAAAACATGTCATCTGATTCCAAGCCCAGTAGCACTCTCTACTGATCTGAATTGTTGAACTGAGTAAATCTAAGTTGGAGAGTCTGGGTTACAAGCTAAATGCTCTAGGAATTCAGAAAAAAGAAATGAGAGATCTGACAATTCCAAAGGATTAATAATGAAAAATGCTATTCACCTCCAGAGAGGGAACTGATGAACTCTGAGTGCAGACTGAAGCATATTTTTTCCTCTTTATTTTTCTTGATTTTTTTTCCAACATGGCTAATGTGGAAATATGTTTTGTATGACTTTGTACATATAGCAGGTATCATATTTCCTGCATTCTCAATGGGAGTGGAGGGAAGGAGAATTTGGAACTAGAAACAAATTTTTTTTTTTTGGTGAGGCAATTGAGGTTAAGTGACTTGCCCAGGGTCACACAGCTAGTATGCGTCAAATGTCTGAGGTGGGATTTGAACTCAAGTCCTCCTGACTCCAAGGCTGGAGTTCTATCCACTGCACCACCTAGTTGCCACCCAAAATTTTTTTTAATTAAAAAAAAGAAAAAAGAAAAAGGTGAGATCAGTGTGGGCTAAAGTTGCTAGGGAAGATTTTTTTGGAGAAAGTTGGATTGGATCTGGGTCTTAAAAGCAGTTTCTGGAAATTGATGAGGAAATAAGAATGTTTCAGGCATGAGGCACAGCATGAGACTCTAGTCATCTCTAGAGTAAAGTCCTTCTTTGAGCAAGCTATGGGTGGGAGTTCCCCAAATGGATATTAAGCAAATGAGACTTGCATATTCACTATCAGCCCATAAGTGAGAACCCCAAGATTCTTTGATTTAAAACCCTCTTACAGGCAAGGTGTCCTTAACTATAAAATGAGGATAATAACAACACCTACACTTCACAAGGTTGTTGTGAGAATCAAATGAGATATTTGTAA